CAGCAGGAGTAGGGTTTCAAGGACAAAATAATTCCCAGATAATGAAGATACATCTGAAAGTAGTGTGTAAAATTCAACAGGTCCTCATAGAAAGAGCAATTTTAATTTTTTAAACATGTTTTCATTTTAGCTAAATATCAACTATAAAGCAAGTTAAGTTTATCTCTGTTTAACAGGAGAGAAAGCAGATATATACGTAAAATGACCTGAATGTCTACATGGCTACTTTGCAGCACAGCTGGGACTCACACCTACCACTCCCAATCCTTAGCTCTTTTAACTCAATCAGTGAAGAGCAATCTAGACTGTATGTGGCCTAAATATGTTCTCAAGATGACCTATGATCTAACCTCAGAAATTTCCCTCATATTAGAGAGAGGAACTACTGCTCTTTCCAGGAAGATCACTTAGCCCTAATCATACAGAGTATGAGTGACAAATCCAGTGCTGGCCAGGTTGCAGATGTAGAAGTTAACAATCTGGAGGGGAGTATAGGCACTTGCCAGCATGGACACCAGGAAGGCGCTGGTATCCTTGGACAGTGAAACTCAGTCTGGGTGGTCTGTGAGAGCTGCCAAAGTACACATAGTCACTTGGGAATGTAAGTCAGGTCACTGATGAATTCTTCTCTGGGGAAAGGTAACAGGGAGATAAGCATGAGACTAGGGCGATAAGGAGAATAAGATGGGTAACAAAAGTCTAACCTGGCCCAGTAGCAAGATAGGAAGTCAGAACGACCTGAATCTAGCTCACAGTATACCAAGATGTAGAGTTGTGCCTCTTGTTGGGAGGTTGGGGGATGAGTTAGATGAAAACTAGAAAGGAAATGAAATTCTAAAGATTTGACATTTAATGCCATAAGAATATAGACTATTATCAAACTCATTTTATGAAATACACTGCAGACATTCAAGGATACAAAATTAAAATTCAAGCACAAAGAATCTTAATAAAATAATTCAAGGAAGAATAGAACCATTGTGCAAGTTTTGGCAGACTATGAAAGTTTGGCTAAAAATGAGACTCTAGAAAATAAAAGAATGTTAAGCATAGCTGCAGTTTTATATTTTCTAATTATCTGTCATATATTTTTAATGTGGCCCATGAACACTTCTACTTTTTCTCGAATTCTGTGTGAGAGGTTCCTCAATATTGCCCTAACCTAGGCCAATGAAAAGAATGGAAAAGGGTATCAGTAGCAAAAAATGACTGAAAACTGAGTCAATAACTAATTGTGCCAAATATTCATTTGGGAGTATATTGTGGGAAGATTTTATTCATTGTCTCATGTAAGTTTCACAGCAATAGTAAAAGGCATGTTACTGTGGCTACACTTTATGTATGAGATATCTGAGTTCGACATGCTTAAGTAAGGTCCATGATTATAGCTGTCAAAGCTGGCATTTAAACCCAAGTTTGTCTGACTGCAATGTCCGATTGTTTTTCCTCTAACTATACTTCAATAATTTCCTATAATTTTTTTTAATTTAATAATATTTAAGAATAATCTTTATAGGTTTAAAATGAATAAAATACTATTTCTAACTCTTTCCAAAGGAATCTTTTTAACAACATGAAAATTGGTGAGAACCTTTTTAAATTTATCTTAGAAACAAAACCATTATTTCTACCTATAACATAAAAAAACAAATTATTAAAAATAATTTTGAGGTAGCTTTCAGTCTCTTTACCTGCTCGACTGCTTTGTCTCTTTGTAAGGAGGTCAGCATCTTCTGCTTTAGTAAAGTGTGGTGCTTCTCATGTAACACCCTTATTGTTGGTTCATAAGATGCATAATGTAACTTCAACCTGTGAAAAATAAAGGGCATCTTAAAGGGTAATTCAGTTAAATCAGTGATTTCCATTTAACATTTGAACCTTTTATTTTTCTTTTTTGTTTTTTGCACTGGAAGTAAAAAATGAATAACCATATTAAAGGTCAACACAACGGGGCCAAGAAGTGCAAATATTATATGGCATACACCTTCCCTGCAACCTGGGTGGGAGTTGGAAAGTCACATTTCTCTATATTCAAAATGCACTCAGAAGATTTCTGCTATTCATTGACAGAAAAAAAAATTGCAGTTTCTTTAATCAATTCAGAAATAATTTTCAAAAAGACAAGGACTACAGACAACAGATGATTAAACAGAAATAGTGTCATCCACATCAAAATAAAGAATGGTCTTGAAAACAAGTTTGATTACCCCATATTAAGAAAATTAACTATAAAATATTTTGATATTTCATAGAAATAATTCACTCAAGTTATGATCTAAATACCTTATAAAATCTGTTTTATTTGAAAATGCTTTCAAAATATTCTCCTTACTTTTTTACTGAAGTCTAATTTACATGGAGTAAAAATATACAAATCTTAAATGTTACCGTTTAGAGTTTTCGTGAATATGCATGCCCAGGGAGTCCACAGTGTTATCAAAATACAGAGCATTTCAAACATCTCAGGAGATTCTAGAACTTCATAAAGAGACTAGGTTCTCTTGTGAAAGTAGCTTCTATCACTCAGCATCATATTTTTCAGGTTCTTCCAGTGTTGTTGTGTAGACCAGTAATTCACCCCTTTTTATTATCAGTAGTGTTCCCGTGTACGTATATTCTAAAATGTGTTTATGCAATATTGTGCTGATGAAGAAATGAGTTGTTTTCAGCCTGGAGCCATTACGAATAAAGTTGCTTTCAACATTCTTATACCAGTCACATAAATTATCTTTTGGTTATGTATCTTCATTTCTCTTAGAAAAACACCTAGAGGAATTGCTGAGTTATAATTTATACTTACTACCTGTCAACATTTGGTGATGATTAGTCTATCTATGGTTCGCCAATTTTACTTTCAATTCTGTCAATTTTATTATATTTTCAAACAACCGATATATGAGTTTATTGATTTTTTTCTTGTTTGTCCCTTTGCTAGTTTATTGGTTATAGACCTTATTTTTATTATTTAATTTATTTTCCTTTTTTTGTATTTAATTTATTCTTTTTTTTGGCTTCTAAGGCACGAGATTAGATCACCGGTTTAAAATTTTCTTCTTTTCTAATATAAGCTTTTAAAGCTATCAATTTCATTTTAAGCATTGCTTTGCCTGGATCCCTCAAATCTCAAAATGTTGCATTTTCAATCAGTCAGTTCAAAATATTTTCTCATTTTCTTCTTTGACTCATGGGTTATTCAGAAGTGTGTTATTGGAGAGAAAAAATGGCGTAGATGATAGAAGCTCTGTTCATCCCTCTGGCGACCAAAACAAAGTTGTGATGGAAACAAGGAGCAGCAGCAAGGAAAAATCGCCTGGGATCTAGATGAACAAGCCATACAACTAGAAAGAACTCCAAGAAAGCACCCTGCAACAGCAGAAGGTAGAACGGGGAGAGAACACAGGGCTGCTCAGTCGCCAGTGGCTGAGTGAGACGGAGGCTGCGGCACCAGCAGACGCCTCTTAAAGGGGCAGTATCCACAAATGGATTTTCACGGTGACAGACCTGCTCGCTCTGAGCACCAGTGCTGATTCAGCTGTGCACAGGGGGCACCAGGGATTTATAGGGAGACATTGTCAAAATGAGGGCCAAGGTGAGACTTGCTCAGTACAGAAGGGCCTTGGTATCCATTGTTCCCTGTTGAGCCCTCCCCTCTCCCAGTGCATGGACACAGCACCGCCATAGCTGTGACATCATCAAACTAGATAACAGAGGTCGTTCTGCCCAGAGGATTCCCTGAAACCCCACCTCCCCCAACTCGGGCCCCGCCCAAGCCACATCCAGATGTGTCCTCGTAGAGTCACGTGCTCCTTGCTGAGACTCACACTGGTGGAGGCAGCTGGCCTTGATTTCTGGTGCGGCCTTTGACTCAACACAGCATCTGCAGATTGCTTGCTGAATCTCAACAGGTGGCCCCAGAGGGGTAGAGGCTTGGGCTAAATTTGGCCTGCAGCTGAACTCCTCTCTCAGGATTGTGCCACTGGACACCTACTTCACAAATCCACACTAATAAGACCAGAAGACTTAGGAGCTTTGCTTAGGACATAGAAACAAACACGGAAAGGTAGCCAAAATGGGAAGACAAAGAAGCAGAAACCATATGACAGAATAGAACAGAGATCCAGATATCATGGGGT